GGCAGATGAAAGACTCTAACTTAGGGCAAGTCCGCAGCCATTTTCTGCTTTCTTGAGCCGGTGGCCCTCCGTGTGAGCCGGAGAATCTTCTTGAGGTAGTGTCTCTCACTGGGGATCCAACAACAACTTATCTTACCTCTTGGTACATATATCTTACTCTGCCACAAGGTAGTTTTTACTTGAGGTTTGTCAATGTCCCTTCCTCATTGCCAGTCGCCAGACAGGATTCCAAAAGCCAGAAGTGGGCAATAAAACGTGTAGGGGACAGCTGACGGGTGCATGCGCAGAACAACCTGGGAGATGTGGCCTGTGCCAGTCCCGGGGCTTCTTCCCCACTGTCCTTCGCTGAGGCTTTCGGGTACTCATCTCCCACAGCGAGGGCCCACCCGAAAGGCAGTTCTAAGTTACAACCCCAATTTACGGAGGGTTTCATGGGCGCCGGGATACTAAAGTGCCAGGGTTAATTACTACAAAAGGGTTTCGGCTGATTTGCTCTTCATCTAGTCATGGTGGAGTGCTTCAAAGTCCACGGGCGCCCTTTCAAAAAGAAAGACGCCCTGCCCTGCAAGGCTTTGTATGATTGCTAATTCTGGGCCACTGGTTCTTCACATTTTAGAAAGCTTCCATGAAGCATGTCTCTGTGTTAGCTGGCTCCCCAAGAATGTTCAGTACAGTAGGTGGGCAGAATAATTCCGAGTCCCCTCCTGCCCATTCGGAGGTGTGAACGCCAAGCCTCATTCTGACTGCCCGGGGCCCAAAGCTCGAGTGACAGACAGACAGTCTGGTGCTTCGCCAAGAGCAGTCACCTGTATATCTCAAGGTGCTTCTTGATTTCAATCCGAGAAGGGAAGTTCATTTGTGCTGCAGACAAATTAGGTGAGAGGGCTGTGGAAGACAAAGCCTTCCAGTCTCTCCAGTTCCTGAGCTCCGATAGCCGCCATCATTGGTAACGTAATAAGTTTCTTCCTCAAGCTGGATCCAGTCCTGAAAACTTAAAGAGGTTCCCTTCCTAGAACCGTTAACTCACACAGGACTCCTCTGCTCTCTCCATTCTGCTGTATTCGAGAATTTTATCCTAACTCCCTAGTGATTTTTAATAAGATCTATCACTTTATGCACATGAGTGTTTTGTCTGGATGTATGTCTGCACCACCTGGCACCCATGGAAGCCAGAAGAGGGCACTGGATCCCCCGGAACCTGATTTATGGATGGTTGTGAGCTACCTTGTGCATGCTGGGAACCAAATCCAAGCCCTCTGCAAGAGCAGTGGATGTTCATAACTAATGAGTAATCTTTCCAGCCACAGTGGTAATGTTTTATCGTTTTGTTTGTTGCACAGTGAATAAATAATTATAGTCCACCCTGGGAGACTCACTTTTTACCACTTATTAGATGGGGATTTATCGATTGGTTGACTGATTGAGACTGGTCTCTCTGTGTACTGGCTGCCCTGAAACTTTATGTAGACCAGACTGGCCTCACAGAGATCCTCCTGCCTCTGCCTCCTGAGTGCTGGGATTAAATCGTGCGCCCGGACAGGATTTTTTTTAAAGATTGATTGATTTATTATGTATACAACATTCTGCCTCCATGTATGCCCACATGCCAGAAGAGGGCACCAGAATTCATTACAGATGGTTGTGAGCCACCATGTGGTTGCTGGGAATTGAATTCACGACCTCTGGAAGAGCAGTCAGTGCTCTTAACCACTGAGCCATCTCTCCAGCCCCCCAGGATTTTTTTTTAAAGATTTATTTATTTATTTATTATGTATACAGTGTTCTGTCTGTATGCTTGCTGGCCAAAAGAGGGGACCAGATCTCATTACAGATGGCTGTGAGCCACCATGTGGTTGCTGGGAATTGAATTTAGCACCTCTGGAAGAGCAGCCAGTGCTCTTAACCTCTGAGACATCTCTCCAGCCCCAGGATTTTTATTTTTAATTAAAATCTAAGATAATGCATGGATTAGCATGGTGTCTCACTTTATTTTAATTCGTGTTTTATCCTTTCCCATTTGATGAGTTTATGTCTTCTGTGTTTAAAGCATTTTATGAGTGATCTAAAAATTAAGTAGAGTAGTATAAACACACTAGCTTAAATAAAATACAATTTAAAATACACTTAAGTTTGACATGTCTACAGAATCAGACGATAAGCAAACCAAGAGCAGTGTGACAGGGTTTGCATGTGAGCTTGAGAAGCCCATTGATTCCATTACACTTGTCTAGGAGGTGCTTCAGAGTTCCTCTAGCCAGTGTTTGCTTAGTTGTCAAGAGCAATACAAACCACTCAAGAAGGGTCAGGTGAGTGTGTATAGGGGTGGCAGGATGGGGACTTCCTCTTCCAGGCCTATTCCTGAGTGTGCTGGGGGAAGGCAGGAACGAGGAGCTGGCCCCGCCTATGGAGGTGAAGGCCTGCTTTTGTCTTGTTTGCTGCAACAGCAAGGCTTTGAAACTGTTGTGTAGGTTAAAGACCTTACCTGGAAGAGTGGAGGAAGCAAGCCAAGTGTTGCAGGGTATGAATGGAAGCGAGGAAGGACCAAAATGCAGGTTCCAGCGGCAGGTAGGGGGTAGGGGAGAAATGCAGAGGGTGCAAGGTCGTGTGTGTGTGTGTGTGTGTGTGTGTGTGTGAGAGAGAGAGAGAGAGAGAGAGAGAGACGCTGCAATTCCCTGTTGGCTTTTCTCCCTTACTTAGGCAAAACCAGAACAGGAGACCTTAGAAAGCAGTGGAGAAAGCAGAGAAGCAATGTAGCCAAGGGGAGGCAGAACCTTCTTCATAGCCCTGGGATGGGGATGCATGTCTGCAGTGGTGGTGGAATAGTACAGGGCTCACCTTTTCAAAGGGAACGGTTAAAAAGTGATGCATTTAGCGATATGCTGGGTGTGGAGTGAGTGCATGCCTTTTCCGTTCTTTTCCAGTTCCCCAGTTCCCGAAGCTAAGGGGAATAGGCAAGAGGGAAACCCACTGCTTACAAACATTTGGTTCTAATGAATTAAAGAACATTAACACTAACCCGGGACACCACACTTTCCACTTACCCAAACTGACTGAAGCACTGACTCTCCTAACAGTCTTGGAAAGCAGGCCGCTTATTCTTTTTTTTTTTTAATATTTACTTATTTATTATGTATACAACATTCTGTCTGTGTGTATGCCCGCAGGCCAGCAGAGGGCACCAGACCCCATTACAGATGGTTGTGAGCCACCATGTGGTCGCTGGGAATTGAACTCAGGACCCCCGGAAGAGCAGGCAATGCTCCCAACCTCTGAGCCATCTCTCCAGCGCCAGGCCGCTTATTCTATCTTTTAGTTCCCAGGGCTGCTTGGGAGGAGTTGGGGAGCGGAACTAACAAGGGCTTTGATTGGATGTGTGTTCCAAGTCCCAGAGAGTTCAAGTATGTGGGCACTGCAGCTTTTCTGGCTGGAGTCCTGTAGACACACATGATCAGGATGCCGATTAGGAGTGAGGGGAGCAGAGTTGGCCCCTTGGATGCAGCAACAAGTTCTCATATTTAAGGCTAGGGTGGCTGGGTGACAGGCAACATGGTGATGATACCTGTTTCCTCCCTTCTGCCTGTGTCCTTCCTCCAGACTGTTCTGTGGAGGTTGCTGTGTGGCTGCAGAATGGCTCTAAGCACGTCTCTGACGCCGGGCAGTGGTGGTGCACACCTTTAATCCCAGCACTCGGGAGGCAGAGGCAGGCAGATCTCTGTGAGTTCGAGGCCAGCCTGGTCTACAAGCGCTAGTTCCAGGACAGGCTCTAAAACTACAGTGAAACCCTGTCTCAAAAAACAAAACAAAACAAAAACCAAACCAACCAACCAACCAAACAAAAAACCCAAAACCAAAAAATAAAAAAAAAATAAAAACAAAAACAAAAAATGTATGTCCCTGATGGCCAGTGAGGGACTTGCTCCCTTCCGCTGAAGCGAGCTGACTTGGGGTGGTCTTAGAGCTCATTCATCCCATCTCTCATTTTCTCAGAGAGCAAACATGTGTTGAGGACTGACCTCCAAGAGAAAGGCAGGGTGCCACTGTCCTATTATAAAAGTCCCCTCCAAAAGATGGCTCAGTGGGTAAAGGCACTTGCTGCCAAACTTGCCTATTGTCTTCTGACTTCAGTGTGTGTGTGTGTGTGTGTGTGTGTGTGTGTGTGTGTGTGAGAGAGAGAGAGAGAGAGAGAGAGAGAGAATAAAGAAGTGGAAGTGTAATTTAAAAATTTAAAAAATATTTAAAGTAGATTGTGCAGCACAGAAGTCCCCGGGTGCCCTGGCATCTCTGGGTAGGTTAGTGATTCTGTAATCCCGGCTACCCAGGCTCTACAGCACAGGGAGCTGCTTTTGGCTCAGGGCCTCAGGGGCTGTTTCTCCAACAGCAATCAGACCGTATCGCCACCTTCATAGCAACATTTTATACTTTTAGAAAACAAATGCGTGAAAAATCCCTCATTTAGTTGTTCCGCAATCTCCTCCCAGCTCGGCTCTCCCCTCCGAAGGTACATTTCAGTCCCGCTCACCCTATTTCACAACCCCCACCCCGCCTCCCTCTTCAGGGTCTCTCTCTTCATTCATCTTTTACGCTCAGAATCCCCACTACTCCTAGGGATCGCTATAGGGGGTAGCCTTTCTGCACCGGCAAGGGAGAAGAAAGGGGGTCCAGGGATCCCAAAATGGCTATGGGTGTTCTTGAGCCCAACTACTTAGCCTCTGGCTGCAGTGAGCGGTTGCGGGGGTCTGGAGGAAGCCCGCTCTTGGGAGCCAAGTGGAGGGGACCGGGTCCCTTCGCTTGCTCACCTCTTCCTGTCCCGGGAACTGCCTCCCTGACCTTGACGGGAGGCGAGGCGGGGGCGCGACGCCCAGCGTGCTGCGCACCGAGGACAGTCCCGCAGGCAGGCCCGCCCCGCACCTCCCAGCGCGTGCCCGCCCTCCCGCGCTGCCCGCCGGGTCTCCTCCCCTCACTGCAGCGCTCGCCGCGCTCGCGCTCGCCCATCGATCAGCCCCTCCCTCTGCCCGGCCGCAGACTGCTAAGCTCAGCAAGTCTTGCGGCAAAGGCACTTCGGAGCAGAGTTGGGCCCGGGGCGGAGCGGGGACTCCGCGCCCCCGGGGAACGAAAGCCGCCGCTGGACCGTCGCCAGCGCCGCATCCCTGCAGCCGATCTCTGCCTCCCGTCGGGGACCGCGGATCTTTCCCGCAGCGTCCGGGTCGCCCTCGGGTGAGTCCCTATCCCCTCCAAAGTTTCTCCATCCCGGCTTCTGAGCCCAGGGGCAGAAGGCATCTGGTTCCTGGGGGTGGGTGGGGTTGCGGAAGTTTGGTGCCAAGAGGACCAGGCGCCCGCACCGTCCTTTGCGAGGAGTTTGCGGCGCTACGGACTTGGGGGAGCCGCAGCCGGGGAGCAAGGATCAGGATCCTCTGTGGATTTGCGCGGGGAGCTGCAGGACGGAGGGCCCGAGGGTCCCTTGCGCCCTCCCGCTCTGCTCGCAGCGTTTCTTCTCCCTGGACGCCCCCACTTGCATCTTGCCCATCCCCCGCCTATTTGCGCCATCTCCAGTTTGCCACTTTTGCCCCTGGTCAAGCTTCGGGGATCTGCAGCACCGCCGTCGTGGGAGGAGAGTGGAAGGTCGTGTATGCAAGGCTGGGGGGCCAGACTAGAATTCTGGAGGTGGGGGTCGAGTCGAGCAGTCTGGTACGCGACGGGGGTGGAGATGTGTGTGTGTGGGTGAAGGTGTCCCTTCAAATCTCATGACTCAGCACCACCTAGGACGGCTTGTCGCCGCTCCAGCCCTGGTTCTTAGGGCCAAACCCATTCTCCTTTCTGGACTCTTCCATTTTCTTTTCTCATTCGCCCCTCCCACTACCACGAATTTTCTATTTTAACTTAGAGGCCGCATCTTTTCCTCATCTCATCCCATTAACCGTATGCTCTGTTTCTTCCTGCCTTCCGACATTCCACAGGTGCCTCTAGCGGCACGGGGTCTCCCCTTTGCACACCCCCACTCCTGAGGTCTCCTTCCTTGGCCCGGCAGCGGAAGAAGCAAGAGCAAGGGCAAGCGCTTGCCCAGCATGGCCATGGCCACTGCAGTGTAGAGAGGGCAGAGGGAGGGAGAGAGTGGGAATTGGGTGAATACGAGGAAACAAAAACCCTTAGGTTTTCAGGGGGCCCTGGGAAAAAGACTGAGGTCAGGCTCGGGGAGCCTGGGATGGCGCCCTTCTTCCTCCTCTGCTGTGAGCTGGAGGCAGCGTTTCCAATGTAATAGATTGTCCTCGGTCCAATCTCTAGCTAGAAGCCTGGGCACTTCATCACTCGGGTGCTGAGGAGGAGCAGGGCCAGAGGCCATTAGTCCTTCAAGCTAGCCCTCCTTCCCAGATTACACCAAGTCTAGCTTTTCGGCTGCTTCAAAAATGAAGAAATGGACATGTCTGACACCCCTCAGGCCGAGCCAGAGGGGCACGGGCAGGGCAGCTATGATGCAACGGGACGTGCCTGCAGCTTGTGTCAGGGCCCCAGAGGTGAGTCAGTGCCTAGGGTCTACACCAGGCCCACTGTGGCCTGCTCTGGGGGATCCAGTCACTGTGCCAGCACTCCTGGAGAATGGCCAGCACCATCAGAACTAGGCTCTCCTGGGCTGTGGGAGCCTCTGTCTTGTTCTGCTCCTTGACACATCCTTGGTGTCATCCTCTAGGACTCTGTGGATCAGGGCTTCTTAGGATCTCATGGGCTTACTCTTCACCTGTGGAGGGGCCAGGAACCTAGGAACTGTGGAGGGAGGGGGACCCAGAGGTAGGTGTCCAGTTACCCTCTGGTGGATCAGAGACCCATCCTCTTCATCGTGAGTCAGCTTTGCTCAGCACCCCACAAACTTTCCCCAGACAGCTTGGAATCCTTTTTGGGGGTGGGGTCTTTCCACTCTGGGGCCTGGCATCCACACGAGACCAGGGGAAGGGAAAGGCATTTGGCTCTGTATGACTGGCCTCACCTGTGAGTAGCATTGGTTTTATCCTGGTCACAGAGCACCTGGTCTCAGACCACCCTGCAGCTGCAGCTCATCTTAGCTCTTCACCTTCAGGTGTTCCCAGGTAGATGCTACAAGGCTGCCCCTAATATGGCAAAGCTGGGGGTGGGCAAAGCTGGGGGTGGGCAAAGCTGGGGGTGGGCAAAGCTGGGGGTGGGCAAAGCTGGGGGTGGGCAAAGCTGGGGGTGGGCAAAGCTGGAGGTGGGCAAAGCTGGGGGTGGACGGCTGGAAAAGTCTCTTCCCTGCTAGGCCACCCCAGTCCTCCTGGATCTGACCTTGAGTAGCTTCTGCTCTATCTTTATCCTACCCTGACAGAGTCCTCCCTCTTGCTGAGCCTGTGCAGCCCTCTCAGGGGGCTAGAGGAGCAGTGAGCGTGTGCCGCAGGCATACGGGAAGACAATGAGGGGATGCCCCGGGCTGAGCACACTCAGATGACACAAGGCTGACCTGAGTAGAACACGGCTTCCTTTAGCCTTGAGGTTTGTCAGGTAGACTTTTCTGGTCTTAGACACACTCTAGCTAAAGCTAAGTTGGCTTGTCTTGAGCTAGCTATCACCGAAGTCATCCAGGTTGGAGGGATACCGTTTAGAGGCTGGAGTGACCGAACAGAGGGCCTGGCTGCAGCTGGTGCTTAGAACAGGACTTGGGTTCTAATCCCTAAGGCCAATGTAATGGCTGGGCTTGATGGTCAGCTGGACTGCATTAAGAAGCACCAAAGACTTCAATGTGGTATTGCCGTCGAGTGTTTTCTTTGAGAGCTTTCCCAAAGATTAACTGAAGGAGACAGACCTGCCTTGGATATGAGGGACACCATCCTACGGGCTGGGGTCCAGCATTCCCCTGCTCTCCACTTCCTGTTCTACCCATGTGCACGTACTCGTAGCTACAGCTACTCCTGTCTCCACGCCTTTCTCATCATCATTGACTCTATCCCAGAACCAGAGCAAAAATCCAAACCAAGCAAAAAACAAATCCCCAAACAACAACAATACCTTCCCTCTGCTTCTTGTCAGGTATTTGGTTACACACTCATTATGAAGTGTGTGGCTGCCCTCATGTATGCAACGAGGATTTTATTAGCACGTGCCTCCTGGGTGCCATTGTCCAGGCACTGAGGATGGATGTTATAATGAACACAACAGATGACAGTCTACCGTTCTTTTTATTCTTTTTGAGTCAGAGTCCCATTTAGCCATGGATGGTCTTGGCCAATCCTTTTGCCTTCTACTTTTTTTTTTTTGGTGCCTTCTACTTTTGACCTTTTGGGTGCTAGGGTTTGGGGCATGTGCCACCACACCTGGTTTATTATTTTTTATTTATTTTATTTTGTTTTTATTTTTTTGGTTTTTTGAGACAGGGTTTCCCTGCATAACAGTCCTAGCTGTCCTGGAACTAGTTCTTGTAGACTAGGCTGGCCTCGAACTCACAGGGATTCACCTGCCTCTGCCTCCTGAGTGCTGGGATTAAAGGTGTGTGCCACCACCGCCCGGCCTCACACCTGGTTTACAGAGTGCTTGGATTGAATCCGGGTTTTGCACGCGATAGGCCAACAGTACCAGCTGAGCTGCTTCCTCAGCCCCAACCCCTGCTCTTCTGGGTTTTGCATTCCTGTGGACCTTAGTGAGTTATTTAACTACTTTGATTATCAGTTCTATAATCATTCAATATTATCTATGGCTTGGTTGTTATTGTTGTTGCTGTTTGAGACAGGATTTTGCTGTAAGGCCCAGGCTGGCCTTGATATCACTGCAGAGCTTAGGTTGGTCTCCAACTTCTGGTAGTCCTGCCTCTCTGCCTTCCTGGTGCTGGAATTATAGGTGTGTTCCACCACGTGACTATTACTGTGTTGTTGTTTGAGACAGGGTTTCTCTGTGTAGCCCTGGCTGTCCTAGAACTCGCTCTGTAGACCAGGCTGGCCCTTCATTCAGAGATCCGCCTGCCTCTGCCTCCCGAGTGCTGGAATTAAAGGCGTGCACCCCTACAGCCTAGCTAACGATTACTTTTTGACAGTCTGTTGTGCCATGCTAGGTGATAGGCATTCAGACGGGAACGAAACGTACCGGGCTCCTGCACTGGTGAGTGAGCACTGTTTGCCACACAGCTGAAGAAATGATCACCTAGCGACCTCATCCCAGCTGTGGCGAATGCCGTCCGTGGAGCCTATGAATAGTGATTTGGATAGGTCTGAAGCTTTAACACTTGCAGGGTCTAATGTGTGACTACTGTTAATACTGTCTACACAGTAGCCCATGGCTCCCTGCACTGATACAGTCTGACATGCCCCGTGTGAGCATCCTCACATACAACTGCTTGGTTATTCGCCATCTGCTCTGGCAGAAGCCGGGCCAGGAAACGGAAATTTAGCCCTGGACTCTCTTGATGTCCAGGAGGCCTCTAGTAAATGACATAGTTTAAGTGGAGAAATGCCACGTGATATTGTTGTGACTATAGACAGGTTGCCTGGATGCCACCTGGGTCTGCAAAAGCTCTGACTTTGGACAAATTGTTAATCAGGCTTCTATTCTCCATCATCCCATGTACAGAACGGAGTTTAGCTTTCTGTCCCCAACACAGGATGTGTGTGGAGGAGGATGAAGTGAACAACATCCTGGGGTGAGAGCCAAGTGAGAGTGATTTTTATCACGCCAGTGCTGTCCTTGTCCACAGTCAGTGCTCATTCCCGTACCTTGTCCTGAAAGTTGGAGAACTTCCGGGCGGTTCTGCTTGGTGCCCAGTGAGCCATTTCTTGCCAGAGCTTAATCTCCGGGAAGGACCTGTCCCAGCCACCCTTCCTTTCATCTCTCGGGGTGATGGGTGATTTGGGATTCCAGCCCTGAGGGACCAGAGCAGTCTCTGAATCTGGACGGTAGGGAGCCTTCAGCTGCTAGCCCCAAGAGTGAACTCCAGGAAGGGCTCCCCAGATATGCGGCGAGCAAGAGCTGCCATGAAGGTTTCCTCCCTCCCTGGGTGGCTTCCAGCTGCTGCAGTCCTGGATTATGGGTGACCCTCCAACCCTTGCTATTTAGGAAAGTAGGGTGTCATGGCCGCTGAACCTCCCGGCATGTGGTTTTGCAAGTAGCCCCCAGATATTTCTTGGCCATCTTATCTGGGGTCTCAAGATTGCAGCTATAGAAATAGTAGCTACAAGAGAAAAGGGAGCCTGGATGGGTCATGGGCAGAACTCAGCCCCGCTCATCTCCTG